GAAAGAAATTCAAACTCCAAACTCCAAAGGTTTCCATAGAAATTTGGCTGTTGCAGGTTTGAAGGGGAGATCACTATGCATAAGAACACAAGGAAAAAGGGCAGGAACACATACATATGTGTGTGTATATATATATACACACACACATATATTATTCTGATTTTTCAGTGGAAAGATCTGTGCTGTTTCACACAAATCTCAGTGATCTGTAAAAGGGATTGAAGAACAGGCTGACAGATTTTTAGTGGCAGTAAACTGCTCACAACAGCAAAAATCAAGACTGATTGCGAAGAGCTGTCCAGGGACTGAGTGATCAGGCAATAATCTGGCACAGAAAATCACCTGATGTGAAGGTAACACCACGGGGGAGACAAACAATCTCAGCTTTACATGGAGAGTTATGAGCTTTGGGAGTTTTCATTCACAGTAGAAATGCTGGAATTACACTCTCTGGCTCCCTGAAAACCTCATCTCAGTTCCCAGCAGGAGAAAGGAAACAAAAAAAAAAAAAGCTTGGAATTACTGATGAAGAAAATAAACCAGGCAAGAGGATGCAGATGTAAAAATTCATTTGTGTGGTCACACCTTGATTACTGGGGCCAGCTTTGATCTTGCCACCACAAAAATGCTGCATCTTTAATGAGCAGCACATCATGAAGACCTTTGGCTATCTGTGGTTTTCTCTCTTGAGCAGAGTTCCACACTGAAATAAGGACCCTTAACTCCTCTACTTGTCATCCAGGAATCTCAAAGCAAGGGAGGACAATTTTTAAATAGATAATTTTAAAATAGATAATCATTAAAGTGGCTTTGTAGCTGGGGAAGTTGAGCTCTGAGCAGCAATCTAACTTATTCAAAATTAAATAAATGATGAAGGCAGAGGCAGAAGTGAAATCCAGGTCTTCCCCCACCTCATACACCCACTCACTCCAGCAGCTAATTGGTTGTACTGAATTATTTTCAACCAGACACAAAAAACCCCAGAGGTTGCAAAACTGTTCAGTTCTTGAGCACAAGAGGGGAAAAAAAAAATAAAAAATCTATTAAAGCAGAGTGAAAGGTTTTGGGGAAAAAAAATTGATCTGCCTGTTTGAAAAATTACAAATTTATACAGTCTTAGCTCTGAGAAATATTGCAGAGGGGTTCAGAGCTGGGGTGAATTCACAGCAGAAGTTACTGAGGGAAAAAGCAGCTCAGGGAACTGCCCCTGGTGCCTCTTCTTTGAGGTTTGTCCTCTGACCCTGCTGTGTTTTCGTGGTTCACCAGTTCTTTGGCAGTTTTACATCTAAAATTGCAAGAAATGTGTTTTCCTTAACAAAATCAGGAAGAAATTCCCTGGCATTTTTTTTTCCCAACCCTTTCTTTAGCTTCAGAGAGGGATGTGTGATTAAAACTCAGCTATGTGACTCTGAGAAAACAGATCAGAACTGAAAAACCCCAATGTGCTCATTTAAAGAGAAAATACCTTATACAGTGTGTTTTTCTAGTGCTATCAGAAATTGAATTTCAGAGCATCCAATGTGCTCAGTTATTAGTTCTCTTGTGGGATATGTGCAAATCAAAATCCATTCAGGAATGAAACAAACAAAAAAAAGATGATTACCTAAATTTTCTCCCTCAGATGTTTTGCCAGTAAAAGTACCAGTTTCTTGCTCAATATACAGAATCAGCACTTAAAAGTTTCCTTTTCTTCTGAAATTGTGTATGAAATACTTCCCCTGTTCTCAGCCCAAGTCAATCTCTAAGCTCCTTCTACAGACAAGTAGAAAATCAATCAATCAACCAATCAATCAATTAAGCAACTCCACTGCCTCATTCAAAGATTTTGTACCCTAGATACAACACAGTAATGTGATCTAGAGGTGGACTTGAGGGCTGCTGCCATGATCAAAGGCCTTTTTTAGGCTAATCCTTATTTCCCAGTGAGGCTTAGAGCTCCTGCATGACCTGTTCCTTGTCTCACACCATCCTGAGGTAAGAAAATGAGAAATCAAAATCAGTGGAAAGTAATTTTTGACAGAAAAAAAAAATCCTTAAAAATTATATTTAAACAGAATTGCATCTTTAGAAGGAAGTTTTATCCCTCTAAGAATATTCAGCTCTCTAATTGTATTGGCACTGGTTGGTGCAATGATGCTTCTGGAACACACAAAGATGTGTCCAAGAGGGAACCAAAGCTCACCCTGAGTTGGACACCGAGCTCTTGGCTCTTCACTCAGGTGGGTGAAGCCAATTCTAACTGGTGGAGTGTTCCCAGGAGCACAGGAACTGTAATTTCATGGAGGATTTAGAATTTCAGCTTTCAGTGTTAGTCCTCTTTTGGAAATAACATTTCCTCTTCTAATATTCACATGTCTTTATTTTTCCAGCAGAGGCCTGGGATAGTTGTCTCACAGAATTGTCATAGAAGGGTTTGGGTTGGAAGGGACCTTAAAGCCCATCCAGTCCCACCCCTGTCCTGGGCAGGGACACCTTCCACTGTCCCAGGCTGCTCCAAGCCCTGTCCAACCTGGCCTTGGACACTTCCAGGGATCCAGGGGCAGCCACAGCTGCTCTGGGCACCCTGTGCCAGGGCCTGCCCACCCTCATAGGGAAGAATTTCTTCCCAATATCCCATCTTAATCTACTCTCCATCATCTTCAAACCATTCCCCCTTGCTCCATGAGGACTGTGCCCTGTCCTGTTCGTTCTTTCACAAAACACAATTTGCAGCTCCATTTCAATTCCTCATTAGTTCAAATCCAACTCATGAGCGGTGACTGAAAGTGGTCCCAGAGTTGTCCTATTTTTGAAATCCCTGTGTTTTCCACTTGAGGTGATCACTGTTCACTGGAGGGAGGAGGAAGGCAGAGCTTTGTCCCTGTCTGAGCTAAGGCAGAGACAGAATCACATCTGAGGGCAGTGATGCCTGGCTGTGCTGCCCTGAGTGCGTGGCAGATGTCAGATTTCAGTGCTCTTAATCCAGCACTTTTCACAGCACCCTTGAAAGGGTCAGTGACTCCAATAACAGCAAGTGATGCTTCAGTCATTATCTGCAGTTTGAATTTATTCACATAAGGATCAAAAAAATGAGCACGTCAAGCGGCTTTAAGACACCGCGGGGTTGTGGGTTTTAATTAGAAACACTCCAAAAGTGAACTGACAGTTCAAATTAAAAAAAAACAAAACCAAAAACAAAAGCAGGGGGGCAGATTTTAGGAATTAGGAGTTATTGCAACAGGAGCTTTCAGATTTGCCATTTAGATTTTGTGTGCAGAGGGTTGCTTTCCACCCCCAGCGGTGCTTTCTGGGGGGAATAACCCTGAAGCCAGGGGAGGAAGGGCTCACCCTTACATTGCTTCTGTCAATTCTATCAGCTCCTTTCCACTCCACAGTGCAATTACTGCTGTTATCTCATTAGTGTTTTAATTAGGGCTCAAGTGCAGGCAGGCCAAGGTAGGAAGGTTCAATTCACAGCACCAGGTCTGGGCTCTTCAGTCACTGGCTCAGTTTAGAGGAGTCTCAAGGCTGTTCCAAATTAGAGACAGATATAATGACCTGTACAAAAAGTGGCAGCCCCCAACTGTACCTCCAGAGATACCCCTGGGTCTCTCTGGGGTCTTTAAATAATTACAGTGCTGTTCTGGGGAGAGAAAAAACCATTTTCATGACTCTGTGGTATCTGTCAGAGATGCTACCCAATGATTTCACAGATCCTGTGGACTAAAAGGGTTATGGAAAATTCAGAGTCACAGATTTCCAGGCAATGACGTGAAACCCAGGTCCTCCAAGTATAAATCTCCCACCTTGTGTTGTCTAAATAAGATTTATTTGTGAGGGAATCTCTGTATCAGTGAGGTCAATTTACTGTGAGGCTTTTTGCTTTTGTGATGGTGATGCCTTAAGCTTAATAAGTTAAGCTCCCTCAGCAGCACAAATTATATTTTGTATATCACACCCAATTGCTATTTCTCTCCTTAGAACATAAATAAAAGAATTTTTACAGAAAAACATACTCTTATTATGTTGGTTTTTTTCCTCTTCTCAGGTGATCTTTTTGCTGTATCTTAACAATTAACACAGAAGTGAACTCTCCTGCTCTCAGGACACACACTCAGATCAGCTGCTGGGCAACACAGAAACCTTTTTCACGCTGACTTCCTTGAACAGGGCACTGACAAGGTGAGAACATGAGGCTTCTCAGCCTTGAGAAAGCTGCCAGTGGTGCCTGTTCAGGACCATTTGCACCTTCCCCTTGGGGGCTGGAGTGACATAAGAGGCAGCTACAGCAAACCTTGATTCCCTAAGAGAGGGGAACCCACTGAGCCTGGAAGAGCAGAAGAATTTTTTTCAGCTTACTAATAGCTAATTAATGCTTTCCATCCACACTCAGTTTTGGGTTTTTTTATGTTTTTTTTCTGGGAAAGCACCACTGTGCTTCAGCTGAAGGCTCAAAGTGGGTTATGAATGAGCTTCCTTCTGCCTCTGCCTACTCTTGGTTGGCACAAGAGACAGAGTGTTGGGTAAACAGATAAACAGCCTGTAAGCGTGGGCAGCACTGGGAAGGGAACTTCATAACAGGGAATCTAGAAACAAACACACAGCAGTGATGTAGAAAATGGAGATGACTGTGAAAGATGCAATTCCTGACCGTGATTATTACATTTTTCTAAATAATGTGTGTGACAGAATTGCTGTAGTTGTCATCCAAGTGGATGAGCAGATATTGTAATGCACCCCCTGGCTTTGAACATTTCTCCTTCCCACCTCTCAAAACCTTGCACAAAGGCAAACAGCACTGCAGAGGGAGGAGGAAAGAATGGCCCAAACCCAAAGAAACAGCCCAAACCAAATCATTTCAATTCTTGCAGTGTTATCTGCTGTGGCCACTTCAGAGAACACCTGAAGATGTTTGGCCTTGTTTGTGTCTCATTTCCCATAAAAGCAGATGTGGAACGTGACAGATGAAATTTCCTCTCAGTGGGAGAGGGCAGTGTCCTCTCACCCATGCAAACACTTACCAGGAGAACAAGAATCACTGGCCCTTGGTAGATGTAGTCAATATATTTCCCTGGCTCTTTTCCAAACCAGCATCTGTAAAAAACAAAACAAATAAGAAATAAATTTGCAAAGGTAAATTCACTTTTAGACTGTAACATGAAGGACACTGTAGAGAGGTTCCTTTACTCACTGCATTGTTTAATCACATATAAATAATCAGCAAATAACTGAATTTTCTGCTGCACATCACCTGTTGTTGGACACAGATCTGAACTCCACTTTCCCCTGCCATTAGAACATTCATGTTCCCTCTATGGTTTTGGCTATTGCCTATGTAAATATTTACAAGAAATATGAGAACCTGCTATAAGAAGGATACAGGAGATGTCTGAGAAACAGATTAAAGAAATATTCTGTGTAAGAAAAGAAAAACCCTGTTATCCATTGCAGTTCCCAGAGACACAAAGTAAGTGCTGCTAATTAAAGCAAATGTCTCAAGTTGCATGGAAATGCTGTCTAAATAAAACACTGAATGGCTAAGTCCCAGCTTATCCCATTGGCTTTGGATGAATTTGGGGACTACTGGGGACTCTGGAAGTGCTCAGAAACCATGCAGATGTGGCACGTGGGGACATGGGTTAGCAAAGGACCTGGCAGTGCTGGGTGAGTGGCTGAGCTCCATGATCCAAGACTTAATGATTCCATGGCCACCAAAGCCAGCAGGCAGAACAGAGACACCACTTGAAACCACCAACTCCTGCTCCAACATCCCCTTCTAAACTGTCTGGGACAACCCAAACCAGGCTGGGAAATGGGCTCAGGTGAAGTCACAGGTGAAGTGAGTGGCCTCAGAGCAGAGGAGAGCCTGGATGTGTCACACATGACTGAGCACCGACTTGACTTCCTCTAATTCCAAGTGTTTTTCTCCCTGCTGTGTTACACAAGAGCCCTGTGATTTCACAGCAACCCACACTGACACTCACTTCATCCTCTTCGCTGAGAACAATAAATCTGCTCTGTTTATGCTGGTAAATGAATGAGACTGGACTCAGGTCTGAACTCACACCATTCCATTTTCCTTGGGGTAGTTTTGGTCCAGGCTGAAAACTAACTAAGTCCAAAACTATTCCTGGGGAACAAATCTGGAGCTAGCAGGAGCCAGAGGACATTCCCAATAGTCCACAAACTGCAGCTCCACTGATTTTGGAGGCCAAGATATTTGGAAGGTATTTGGAAGTTGAGCCCTAGGAATTAATCCAGGCCTAGCTAATTTAATGTTACAGCTACAGCCACGGGGTCTGGATCCAGGATTCCACCAAGCAAAGACAGCTTTGCATGCATAATTCCTTCAAGCTTAGATCACTGGAGCTCCAGATCCCTTAGGAAGTAGACTTTGGAGTTCAAGGGTCTGAGAGGTTTTTGCCTGTCATGGATACCCCATAATAAGTCCCTACAGCAAAAGTTATGCCTTCCCCATGTTTGCTTTGTGAAACAGATAATTTAGAGACTGGATAACTGGAGCCATGGAAACAAAGGTAATTCCTGAGCCAGGGAGACCATGGAGCCACATTTGCTCTTTTACAAGCAGCAAGATGCAATAGGCTGCCTCAAAGAGGTTGGAGTCTGTAAAACACGACCTCACGAGTCCAGGGGAAATGAACTGGGACTAGGAAAGCTCTGGTTCCGATGGGATCCTTGTGGATCACACCTCACCCTGGAAGCCTCTCTCCAAAATGTGTTGTTTGCTCAAACAGGAGGAGCTGCTTGCCCACTACAGGATGCTCTGAGTGGACAGGAGTGTTGAGGTACGCAGCTGGAATCAGGAACACAGTTCAGGACCTCACAATTATTGGCCTTTTCTTGGCTCAATTCCTAAATCCTTTAAGTTCCAAATGAATGAGAAAGCTTTGGATGTTTTAGAAATGTGAAAGATGTCTGCTATTCCCTGCTGCATTGGCTGAGAATGAGTGTGAATTGATAATTCTGCAACTCATCTTCCAAAATTTGGGCATGAGAGCAAGACTTGGAATAAGGTACTTCCTCCAGCCAAGTTATCATCCAAGAAGAATCCCCAGGGCAGCTTTAAATGAATGAAACTGTGTTTCTGAATTTTATTTTTTTTTGTGTAGCTGGAAAGACATGAAAAAAAAATAATTACAAGATAGGCCAGGGCAGGAAACAAATTTCTCCAGAACTTGCAAGATCTACATTTGAGGGAAGATTTTGAAGGGTATTTTGGGAGAACTATTTTTTATTGCCTGAAACTCAGAGAACTAAGAGAAGCAAAGAGTTCCTGGGAAGCTGTCTGCTCTAGCAGAGGGACTAATATGAAGCAGACTGAGGCATGTGGTGGAACTTAGTGGGCTAGAAAAGTCAGCAAAGAATTTGGAACTAAACTGGTAGAGCACAAATGAGGCTCCAGGGCAAAGGCTGCTTGTTGCTCTTTGGAATTTAAATGTTGCTTAGCTGGAAGACCAAAATGCTGAAATTTGTTATCTGAAGTCCAAGGTTGTGCTGTGTGAAGAGTTAATGTGGATTAATTTCCACACTGAGGAAACAAAGTTGTGGCCAAAGACAGACTCTGCAACACAGGATTCTCCAGGGGAGTTGGTGCTCCAAGGTTCCTTTTGTAGGTAGTGGAGGAAAAAAAAACTCAACAGCTTTTTTAGGTCTGTGTTCATCTCATTAGGTTATAAACCAGATCTGAGAGGAGACAGCTATTTGCCAGAAACATTATAAATGTCTGCAATTGATTAGCAATACTTCACATTTAGAGTCTTAACTGTTCCAACTGGGACTTCTAGCTAAGGTATTGCAAAACTGTTCTGCCAATTATCTGAACTCTTACTTTAAATCCAACACAAGACATTGTTCCTGGAATAAAACAATTTCTTTAAAACCACAAAGAGAAACATAAATCACTGACAATTATTTGCTGCATCTCTGATAATTATTTGGTGCATGTGTGAAATAAAAGCCGTTTAACCACTTTTTATTCTTTTTTTACCTCTGGAAAGATAAATAAACACCCCCTGAATATTGAAGAGGACAATTTAGGAAGACAGTTGTGATAAGACTCAGATATGTAAAACACATTTCTGTTGAATAGCACTACTTAATATTCTTCTGGGCACTCTGATAGTTCTTTATATAACCAAACCCACCACTGGTTTTATCACTGTTGTTAATTAGATCTCACTAATGTTCTTCCCCTTAGCAAATGCCCATCAATGAAATTACTGCAATAACACTTAATAATTTGTGTGTGGTTTTTTTAAGTTGAGGTTTAACAGTACTTTTTTTTTTTTTTTCTTTCAGAGTTGCCATATTTTGCTAAAGAACTGATAAACCCCAGACAGGATATTTGCCACAGCACCAATTAAAATTGCCTCACTGTGCAGAAAATGATCTCTATTAAATACAAAGATTAAAAAGTTAGGAAGTTGGTTGAAGCATTTCCTTAACATTCTTTCTATTTTGAGCTTTTAAACTACAATAAGCTACACAACCTGAACCCCAGCTGAACCTCCACCCAACTTAAATGGATCCTCAGACGGAGAAAGAGGAACTTCCCATTTTTCCTGAATTTTGGGCAGTCTCAAACAGTCTTGGAAGCTGCAGACAAATCTATTTTTGCTGCCTGTGTCCAGCTGTCTGGGTCTGACCTCCTGGGAGCAGCACATGATTCCCCCTGTGCTCAGGACAAATGGACAAAAGCTCTGGCACGGAGCAAAGTCAGGACCCTGGATTTTAGAAAAGGAAATTCCAGCTGTTTGAAGAATTAGGGGATGATATCCCCCTGGGGACCCATCTTTAGGGACAGAGGAACTGACCAGACCTGCAGCTCTTTAAGGATGTTTATCAAGAAGGAGAGCTCTCCAATCCCACATGTAAGAAATCGGGGAGGGACTGGGCATGGCTGAGCAAGGAGCAGCTCCTCAAACTGAGGAAGAAGGAAATGCACAGCCAGTGGAAGCAGGAATATGTGACCTGGGATATGGTTCAGATGTGTATTCATTTCCTAATTTATTTAGAGAGCCACACAAACACAAATATTAACATCACTTACTGTTCATTTTCGTAATACAGCTTGCCAATGGCCCAGGCAATGATGATTGGACAGGGAATACCTGCAGAAGCAAAAAAAAGTTAGGAGTTAATCATGGCTGGATGGATTTGTCCAAGGTACCAAAGTAAATTCAGATTTGTGTGAGGAGAGTCTGAGTTAATGAATGGGAGACTCTCAACAATTGTGGTCCTATCTTGGTCTGATTGATACATCACAACTGCTAAGATTGTTTAATTTAAAAATGAAAAAAGATCATCTCAACAAAACTTTAGTACCAGCAGGGAAAGTTAATAAAATTACTAACACACACAAAAATACCTATATTTTCATGTAAGTGACCAGAAGAATTTTGGCTGACTTAAAGGCAGTTTTGGTTCCTTTTTATTTTCCTGCAGCTGATACAGCAGAATCTTAAAAGACAACACTTGGAAGTGGGTGTTTATGTTTTTATCTCCCAGGGTCCAAGAAGTTTGTAAACACACTGTGATCTCTAGATGAAGCACACTTTCAAAACTTGCAACAATTCGAGTTGAGTGTTCCTTATGAAATGGGATTGTGAGAAAGAACAGCTTGAGATGTTGCAGTATCAGAATTCTTGGGGTTTTTTTCTCTTTCTGAAGGATCCAGCTACTTTTAACCTTACAGACATCACTGCACTCCCTAACAAGTGTTTGTGTTGGCCTCCCAAACCAGCTGGTTTGAAGGGGATTTGCTGGAGGAGGGACCTGGAAGGGAGGAAGAGTAAATGGGAGTGGCTTCTTTACTCACACTCAGGCAAGGACTAGACTGAAGTCAAAATTAAAAGGGGAGATTTTTCCCTTTCCATTCTCCCTTTAACTTTTCACCTCAGGAAAACCCAGACAAGTCCAGCCTCACCAGCTCCATCCCCCATTCCAGACTGCAGGTTGATGTCTCTCTGAAACCCCTGAAATCCCTGAGGTGAGTGCAAAGACAGAGCCCCAGTGACTCTCACGAGTATCTGCCTCTACCCCAGTGAGGGTAACGTGTGTCAAACCCTCGTGGAGCAGCAGAGGTGGATTTGTCTCTAACACAAATTTGTCCCTTTTAACCTGCTCCTTCTGTGTGAAAGGGAGGCTTTAAAGAGATGGAAAGAGAACCACAACACAGAGGGGATGGGGCTGAGTTGCTAAAGGGTCATCCTTAACCTCAGGAAGAAGTACAGCAGCTCTGATCTCCTGCCCCATCATTCCTGGTGGCTCCTGTGTCCTTCAAATGATTGTGTTTTATTCCATCCTGCTCACCAGGGACTCAAAGGGTCTGGTGCTCTCATCTCCCCATGTTCTTGGGAGGAATGGACACAGAAAATGGAACCATGCTCTCTCTCCAGAAGGAAAACATTTTACTTTTCCTTGTTAAGTAAAGAATAGGGATTTGAGAATGTGACTGGTAAAAAAATGTGTATGAGGAGGCAGAGCAGAGCCAGAATGCACCCAAAAGGTGGCAGGAAAGGTTCATTCAGCTCACAGCACTCCAAAATTAGTAATGAGAGACCCAGAGGATTCTGACTGAGGTAGGGAGTGAAAACACCAGGGATCAAACCAGTCTGTGAGTGTGTGAGAGCTGTGTAAGCAGCTGATTTTCCAGTTTGCTGAGAGAATTGAAAACTATTGGGGAAAAAAATGAATCAACTCCCCAAATAAACATTTTCTTTCTACTGCAACTCCTCTCTTGCCATTTGATTTTGGATTGAATGACATATTTGTTTCAAAGGCTGTCTGCCACTGTGATTCAATTACTTCTGCAGAGAGGGAGAGGCACTTCTGAACAAAATGTCATTTTGCTTTCACAAAAGAAAATATTGGTGACTTTCAAAACTGCTCCTCAATCAAACGCGAACTGTCACTCACCCACCTCAGCCAGGGCTTAGCCTGGCTGAATTTTTAATAACTCCAAGGTCAGAGGTTTTGCAGCTTTTAAGTCACATGTTTCAGTGTTCCACCATCTCCTGCTACATTTTCTGTTTCCTTAACATCCCTGGAACTTCCCAGTCTGTGTTTTATGGATCTGTCAGAAG